AAAATGACTACATAAGTACTTCTACTCAAGTATTTTTTAACTATATATACATTTAATATCGACATAATACATTATTTGCGATTATATTTAGAAGAGCTTCAAAAGATTTTTAAAGTAGATGTTTGAAACTATTTTCTAAAGGTAGAATCTAGTTTTTCCATTCTGTAACATAATGTGGACGTAGTGCAGTTTAGTCTGGCTCATTGAAGCATGCATTCGATTAGACACAAATGAAAATTATAAATTATTAACAAATAACATAATATCTGTTAATATATATGTCTAAATAAGAGAGGAAAAACCAGTATTTATAATATGCCGAAGGTTTGTCTCTAAATAGCTTACTGCTACATTCATCATTGGTTGATTTTTCCTGTATGAACGTAATAGAGAGTTAAAAATATTATTAGAAAATAAAGACTCAATACTTTTTCTGTTCATTCTATACTAAAAGCTAATCAAACGTATAGATAGACCCGATGTGCACATACACACACACACATATATCCATATATATATATATGGATATCATCTTCTCATATGTGATAGTGGCCATTTTATAACCTAATAGCGATCGCTTATAACCACTGATAATATATATAACAGTAGTAGTGGTAATATGAAACGCAATCAAACTCAGATTATAACTTATTAGCTGTATACCTATCAGTAACTGGGCTAGATTCGATTGGCGATTAAGTAATTGTTCATATCACGGTTGTATTATATGATGACGAAACACTTTATTTCAATGACATCATCTGATCGGTAATGGATAAAAGGATTGGGAAAAATATTTCTCCAAATTTCTATCGTTTTAACTTATTATTAGAATCAGCATGAGGATAAAATAGATTTATAATAAATAATAAGTGACAGTCAGACTGGATACCGGAAAAACATTTGACTCGATGTTGAAGTAAGTGCCCGTAGGGAAAGAAAAAAAATGAGTAAATCTCAACTCTGTTAATTATGAAATGAAAATTATCAAAAAGTTCTGTTTGAAAATTTCTTTTCTATTATAATCTTTTGAATGATATTTAGAGATAGAATTCTTACAGTTCTACTTATTTTCTGTGCGTGTGTGTATGTTTTATGTTTTAAAGATAATAATAATTTGTTCTTTTCTATTCACTCAGGATATTACCTCTGTACATCTATCGTGATATTTTCACTTGTATATCCTGTACAAGATCATCAGATGTATCATCATCATCATCTCGCGGTATTGACGTGTGAACTTGACAATGTACATATCCGTTTTACTACACATAAAAGATAAACATCATGATGAATTGTACATTTATAAAATAAGAGTAATCATACATGCTGTGACAATAAATAGATCGTTAATGTATCGATTTGTTATTTTAAATTTATGTATCAAATTTTCAAAAAAGAAAAGGAAGAAGTTCACAAGACAGAACATTGTGAAAATGCTAATGTTCAACGACAATGAACTATCAATCTAAGAATTGTGTTAGTATAAAACATCCAAATAGTCCAAAATTTTACATCAGGGACTATAATTCTTAATGGAAATTCCTCATTTCTCACCCGAATAGAATAATATAATTGCAGCAAGTTGGTATTCTCTATTTGTTTATTTGCGTTATGTCATCATCATCGCCTATTTATTCATATACTTGTTACATTTAATTTGAGCTCTATTAATTGGTCACTTTCCATAACCTTCACATTTAATAGATCTGAGCATGTGTGATGATCCAAAACGACCTTTTTAGGGAAAAGAAAGCGAAATATACAAAAATAGAATTCCTTTTCTTTCTTCTTCTTTTTTCTTCTGCAAATATTCTCTTTGTTAGATCAAGTTTTTTTGTTTCTTCGTATATGCGTTGATTGCATATATAATGAACTGTTCATTAGGTAATAATGAACAACAAACATGCACCTTGTTGATCGAATAGAAAAAAAGAAAAGACAAGGATATGTATGCATTTATTAAACTTCATTGTATATATTTTTTTGTTTAATGAGATCTTGAACATATGAAGGATTTAAAAAACAAGGAGAGAACCGTTGTAAGTGTTGATAAAATTTAAACTTAATTCTGATAGTGATTCTATTGAGTTGACACTATGATAACTGACAATAAATGTATTTATAACCATTGAAGGTTGATAACTCACCCTTTTTACGTCGACGCTATATCATATTCTGTCAATACATGGAAGATCATTAGTTATCACTATATACTTGTCATATTCAAGGTAATTATGTCAAATACTATATATCCATCACACCTCTTATGTCTACACTCGGTAGTGGTGATGGTGGTACTGTCATTAATATAAATATTGAGTTCTACAGCATTAAACTATCAGAAACAAACACAAACATCAGGAGAATGATAACACTATAAATATTCATATTAAATGATGCTCAATCCGTTAAGGCGTTAGATCAATGTTTCCACTTGTTTTGACTATCATTCATCATCGCCACAGTTTTGATTATTTCCACAGTGTTAGTTACTAGAAACGTGCTGGAATATGTTGTAAGCCTTCTTTATTGAAAAGAATAACACTTTATTTGTCGTTCGTTTTTCTTTCTAATTAGATATACTGGTATACTAACGACGACACATTCGGCATTGATAAAGTTAGAATTAATTAAGAGATGAACGAACGTTAAAAGCATCGCCCAAACTAACGAGAAAAGAAGGAAAAATAATTGCACTGATTAAATTTCATCTAAAGTTTTCTGTTGTATAAAAAATTTGTACCCGTACTGTATCACTGATCATTTTGATTGTAGCTGCAATAGTGACCACACGTTTTTAAATAGTAGTGAACCATCAGGAGATTCGTGTATGGAAAACAAAGCTTTGTGAAAGGAAAGACTCAGTCTATCAAATAATCTAGACTCTTTCTGAGAATCTCAAATGTGTTAGAATAGAATTTATTAGAGTTTATTCTGATTTAACATCTCGGAACGATGGAACATAATAAGTTGCGTAAAAGTAGTGTTGGCTTTAAATAGACAAAGACTCTTAGACATCCAATGAGTATAAACGTATATTCTGCTTCCGGTGTATCTGTATCCACAATAGACATGATGATGTTCTTCTATGTTTAAAGAAAGAGTAGATCTGGTTAATGTCTTAGTTAATTAGAATGAATATTCCTTGAAATAAAGATATCATAGTACATACACAAAAGAAAACTAAACATTTCTTCCTCTTTTTTAACAAATAAATCCGATATTATTATAACAGACGTACTCATCATTGCTGATATCATTTTTCTCTTTCTCCCGAACGGAGAGAGAAAGAGAGTAGTTCATCACTACTTGTGTGTGTGTGACTTACGCGATGACAAGAACATCCATAGATGAAGTCAGAAAAGTGTGTATTTATGTATTTATGTTAGTTCACAATGAGATTTGTGACTTAAAACGTGTACAAAAGTAAAGATATGGTTCATGTTAATATATACACCAGATTTCTTTTCTTAAGCATTTGGTATGTCGAGAGAAAGAGGGAAATGTGTATTTGAGTTAGTCATTCCATTTAAATATCTAAACAATATTAATTTGTCCGTATGGACTCAGAATTCTAAGTCCAGTCCGAGTCAATGAAAAAGAGTTTTATCAGTCCATGGACTCTAAAAAAGTAGTTCGTTCCAGACCACAATACAAACACAACATGTTTTTTACTGATTATTCCTCAATTCAAATGAATCCAAAACTTTTTTCGAGTCCAGACCAGCCCATAGTCTTAGAAGTTTGAGTCCAGTTCAGCCCGAGTCCATGAGCTCATTAGTTCAGGTGATTTGGACTAGATTATGAACTCAGTCCAGTCCATACAGGGCTCTGGTACATAGACTTGTTTGCTTTCGGAAAAAATGATTATAGTATCTTTATCTCAAATAACATATCTTCATCTCGTTTAGTGATCATATTTTTAAAATTTAAAATCGTTATTCCAGTTAAGTTATGTCTTAAAAGTTCCTGATATCAGCGGGCTCTATTTATATTTTTTCCATATGATGAATTCTTGGATTTTCTTATAAATTCGAAACTAAATGTAATACAGATTTGCGGTTTTCGTCATTATATAGCGAAAACTTTGGGCTACGAACGAAATGAGAGAGTCAATTATACTAAGAAAGAAAACTAACATTTTAGACTAGCATAACTCGTCGTGTGATAATGTGTAAAAAGATGAGAAAGATAAATTTCTCTGTAACAACTATGAAGAAGTTCTCTAATAACAATTTCTTTAAAATCTGTCAGAACTCGACTCAGAAACATGTCTATACATAAAACCCTAATTCACAAAATTATATATGTATCAGTCATTATAAATGGCATAACTTTGATCTGTGTCTAAACTTGTCAGTGCAATAAGACACTTGAGCTTTTTCTTCTACACTTAATATGAGATTATGTTCGAGGATATTTTTTTCTTCTTTGTGAGAGTTATTTATTGTCAGAAAGGAGTTCTATTTTTAGAGTTATATGTACAAATGTTTTCTCTCCTTCATTTTTGAAACGATGATTATGATCATAATAATGATGAACAAATACATAAAGAAAATATGTGGTAAAAGTGACATTTTTTTTTGAAAAAAATAGAATGGAACTAGATAGAAAAGTCAAAACGAAGAGAGAAAGAGAGAAAGGAAGAAAAAAGAAGAAAAAATTTTTTTTTCGTTCGATTAAGCAAGGAGAGAGAGAGAGAGAGAGAGAGATAGCGATAGAGAGAGACATACACAGTCTCAAGAGTATTGACTAAATGATCAATAATACCATAACATTTACCGGTACTGTGGTTCTTTTTCTTTTTACTTGAGTAAGTATGGACAATTGGACTTAAGACAGAAATGCTTTAGCTTGAATAATAATTCCTATTTCTTTTTTTAGAATAATGATTTGTCGATGAGAACTTATATTTAGTATTAATTGTTATCGATTTAATTTATAGTCGTATGTATTAATTAATTAAATCATACTTTTATTCGAATAATTATACAAAAATGATTCACCTTATTGAACAGCCACAATTTCTTCAAGAACCACAATCGTCTTTTATATTCGAAAATCGTCCGATTACATTAACGTGTAAAGCAATTCGTTCAAGACAAATATTTTTTCATTGTGACAACAAATGGGTACCGGAACATGAACATACAAAATCAACAGAACAAAATGTAAGAATAATTTTGCCCTTTTCCTAGAGATAATAAAGTAAACAAAACGAAAAGTTTATCATCCGATTGAGAGTTTCATTTATTATTATGACTACTTATATTAACTACAATGACGATTTCTGACTATAGATTCAATGAGAAACTTGCAATACATATTCAACTCAACTGTAGATAGATCTAGAGCATTATCGTTCACTCTTAGATCTTAGAAATTAGGAAAAAAAAGCTTTCTACAGCAGTAATGCGCATTGGATGAGAAAGTTTGAAATCGTCTGGGCACTCTCAACATACGAATTAGCAAAAATAGATGAAAATATGCAAAACATAATGTGAAAAGAGTAGCTCAAAATTTTCCCCTATTAAATAGAGAAATCTAGAGAAAAAATATTATCTCTTAAATATCAAAAACATTAGCTTGAAGAACGGAGTATATTTTATTTATTTCTGAATACTTTTAATCAACATTCTGTTCATCTTTAACAATTAATGATAATTTCTACAATACATTATTGTCAAATAGTCAAAATATTTTTTTTTATTGACGATAATTTTTGACGGTACTATTAGAGTGCTAAAGTTCGTTGCGAATTTTTATCATTAATTCATCTTTTTGTTTAAAAGTCAAGAACAGGTGGTTTATGTAGTATCATGTGACTAAGCGTGAGTATATTTTGTCTAAAGTATCAATTATTCATTTGTGAGACCTTGAGTCATGCTAGACCAGCACTTTATGTTCAAGAGAATGAAGAAAAAGAGTTTCAAAAAAGAATTGTTGGTATGAACGACTAACCGTTCTATTTTTTTTCTCCTATTCAAATGAGAAAAAAAAAAATTTCATTGTTTTAACCTTTTCTTTTGATATTCAAAGAAAATTTCTTAAAATTTATTTTTTTTTCATTAAATTACATCTGCAGAAATAGAAGAGAAAATGCCATGTAGAGGACATGTTAAATGAAGAAGAAAATGTGCTGTAATTGATCATCACTCTTTTAGAAAGAATGTGTCATTAGAATAATCGTGGCTGGAAGCACATGATTGTATAAGAAAAAGAGTAGAAAATAATATGAAAAGGTAGTGGAAAATAATTATTATAAATGAGGAGTCAAATTTGTCTTATTGCATGTTGAACAGCTCGGTCATTATTATTTAATTTGAAATTTAAAATATAATAGTCATATTAATAGTTGTCTCATAGAAAAAGAAATGAGATCAGTATTAGAAAAGATTAGAATTAAATGAGATGAAATATTTGATGTGTTAAATGTTTCTTGAAATAACAGAGTAGATTTAAAAAAAGCGAATAAAAAAATTTTTGTATTCTCGAGAGAATTGGTCTCGAAGAAAGATTCAATTTAACTATTGTGTTTCTGTTCTATTTCTAGGATAAAGGTACAGTTATTATAACATCAATTAATATTACTAGTTATCCGTCAGAATCTCATATTGGTCCTGATGGATTTAAATGTTGGTGTCAAGCATGGTCAGCCACAGGTGGTACAGCGAAAAGTCGTCCAGCTACAATTGAGATTGCTTGTACGTATTTTTATTATTCATATTTTATTTAAGTTTAACATATAAAAAAATTTCTTTAATAAATATTTTATATCCCCTGTAGTTTATTGTACACATGTACATATATTTTCAACAATAAGTAGAAAAAGAAGAAGAAAAAGAAAAGTAACTAGTCATTTAAAATCAACATCAAACAGCAGCGAAGAGGAAATAAAAGTTTAATAATAGATCCCTATAATATATAAGTGTAAAGTCATCAACAAAGTTTATTGATGTAGATAGTAGAATAGACCCGCTATCAAATGAACGATATTCGGTTAATGAAGCATTCAAATATCCTTTTAAGCCTATTGTAGTAAATGTATCCATAGTTTCAGCAGATGAATGCCGATCATATTGTCTAGTCATATATTGTGATATGAGATCTTATTCAATCTTCTATAAACATATATCATATACGTTTATCTAATTAGAAAATATTACAAAGGCGTTTGATTTTTAAGTATTTTAGCTTTAAAAATAAGTGTCTTCAAAATAGAACAAAATTATATTGTCTATATGGTATTGTAAACAGTCACACACATACGATGATTCGTCTCAAACTGTAATAAAACGATTTATTTTTTTGTATATTATTGGCAAATAACTTTACACATTCAATTTGCTCCGGTTTTATTCTACAATTGACATTATCGATTTCGTTTAATATTAACAGAGAGAGAGAAAGAGAGGAGCAGAGGGAGAAAATGAGGTTAAGTGTTCTATTTAAGCAGTAATAGACAAACGATAACGACGACGACGATCTGTAATTTGATCAAAACTATGTGTAGTTAGTATAGAAATTCTAAACGATTTTTATTGAAGGTCACATTCGGTGTTGTTGACAAGCTGATAAAGTATTTTTAAATTTATCAGGTGTTTTTATATTAAGATGAATAAAAAGATAGCAGTTGATAATCGCCTACATCTTCTTTTTTTAATAAGATGTTAAGTAAATGACTCTAGTCTTCTATTTTATAATATTGTGCTATAAATTCGAATTTATTCTAAGATTTTTTAAAAGAGCGTGTGTAATGTCGGATACTGTTAGATTGCAATATAAATATAAATTTCTTTTCAATGATTATCGACAATTCAATGGTAAAATCTAACCTCATATTCTGTTTAGTAGTATTCTTTTTCTCTGTTTTTTTAAACGAATGCATATGTAACAAAAATGAAGTTTAAAAATGAAACATTTTGAATGAATGTATTTGAAACAAATTGAGTACATATGCCTTTCAGTGACATTTGTTCAGTATATTGGGCAAACACATTTTAGCAAAAAAAAAGAATGAATAAAAAATAGTGAACATTTGCCCTAATGAGAAATGTCTGTTGTTTTTTTGAAACAGAGAATGTGTATAGTGATTCTTTTAACCTTGAGATGTAATCAAGATTCAAATGTGTTGGATATATACACTTTATTTAGAGTTCAAATTTTTGCCTTGAAAATTTCTCTTCTATTTTGAATATTTTTCTTTTTCTTGTTTTTTTTTTTTTTTACATACTATCTCTAATTAAGGCTGCTGTCGTCAATTTTATTAATAGTTTTCCAAACAGAAGAATGTATATCAAAATATTTGAATGAGGCTTTACTTACAACATTCGATTTGCTTTATCTTTCTCCATATATCATTCATTGACAGTTTATGAGCTCATCAAATATGTATCCATATATTGTTTGACTACGGGTGCTAAACGTCATCGGAAGCCTGATGTCTATGTATTACCACTTGATCTTCCTCTTTATTAACATAGTCAATGTCAAAAAGTTAAAAAAAAATTTTTCACACTGGAACTAATCATTACTGAGTATGAACATAACAATGTCCATTATTTTTATTAGACATTTATCTACACAAAGAATAGTTAAAAAGCCGCTATAAAATTAGTCAATATTAATCATTTGATTTTTCTGATTATATATGAGAAAAAAAACATACTGACATAGAAAAAAAACAACAAAAGAATTAATCCAAGCCGCATTTTGTTCAAACATTTTTATTTTCTCAAACAATTTGACATGTTCAGGTGACAAAACAAGAAAAAAAATCTTGTTTTTCATTTGGACATCAATTTTTGATAGTGAATGATAAACAAAAAAAAAAATCGCCTATTAGACATGGGAGAAAAATGCCATTTACCTCAATGGACAGTGTGAATTATTAATAATGGATAAAAATAACATTTGAATACTAAGTACGTGTTTGTCAAATAGAATACAGTCAAAAATGATTAATTATCCTATTCGGCGTGCCAGAAGATATAAATTTTTTTTTTGAAATTATTGTGGGGAAAATCGTCTAAGATAATAAACAGAACGTTCGTTTTTTCAGATTACTATCTGTCTTGAAAACGAAATGTTAGTTCATGTACTCAAACGATATTTATTCTTGCTTCATATTTTTTTAGATCTTGATCCAAATTTCGATTGGGAACCATTGAGAACGGACGCTGTTTTGGGTAAAAGCACTGAATTACGCTGTCGACCACCGATCGGTAATCCTTATCCTAAAGTAAGTTGAATACAACTAAAGATATGATTATGTGTATGTCAAACAAAAACAAAGACTTTATGATAGTTAATCTATTTTTTATTGTCTATCCCTTTCTTGAAGCAATTTGATCTCTTAGATATAATAATAATAATAATAATAATAATAATATCTTGCTACTTCTATAGGCAGTGATGTAATACTAATGACAAGTAAAGGCTATTGAATAATGTTTGGGTAAAGATCAGTTGACTCTAAGTAAACATTTCTAAGACATGTGTGTAGATTAATAGGACATAGTGAGACCAATTTCAACTTTATGATGATTAACTATTGAATTATGGGATTTAGCAATTAAAAGCAAACATTTGATCATAATCAGATACATCTGTGAGAAACACTTTGTACAGTTGGTAATATACACAGAGGATAGAGATACTAGCCAAGATATATTAAACATAAAAATTCGTTCGGCAACGTATAATAACACATTCGTTCTTTAAATATATACGTTTTTTCTTTTCTTTTCATACGTCTGTTTTATTTGAATAATGTCTATAATTTTAACTATTTCCGTACTTGTATGTGAAGTGTTACAAAAACAAATTATTGTGAGACAATTGATCGTCAACAGAAAATGAGAATATACATTGTGTCCGGATTTTAATCATGACATGCCTTGCGGCCCTTTTTATTGCATGTGTACGCAAAAATATTTAACCTATTATAGTAGTAGTTGTAGGTAAATATTGAACAACCATGATCTATCTTAATTATAGTAATTATCTCCTGATCAAGTACAATTTAATTCACTACGTGTGTGTGTGTGTGTGTGTGTATGTGTCTACCTTTCGTTTTATCACATTTAACACCTAATACTAATTATTCAAGTGTAAAATAGAGGTGTCTACGTTTGACGCCGCATAAACTGATTTAACAGATTGATAGGAAACACATAAACGATGGAAAAGCACATACGGATATTTTTATAAACTTTTGATTGATTGGTTAATCTAATTCTCTCGTTCTTCACACTTTAAAACTGATTATGGCATTTGAACATAATAATATGTCTAAGTATAACTTGTTTCACAACGGTAATATCATCATCATACACAAGTTACGGCGTTTCTCTATTGTGTTTTGACACACATACTCACAAAAGAGATCGTTGATATACAATAGAGAAGAATGGGATAGCATCAATGGATATGTGCCCTTCAGTTTCTTCTTGTATTATTCTTTTAACAGGTACAAACAACTAGAAGGATTAAGTAATCGTAATAAAAACATGATCAGTTTACAATTTTTAAACAATGTCGCCCACAAATAAATTTTAGTGCATAGTTCCACATTTTTTACTCATTTTATGAACGATCACGTACATTTTCAGTCAGAGTGTAGGTTGACTCCGGGTTAGAAACACTTTTGCATAATAATTCAAGTAAAACACTGCGTATTTTAGGATCTTTTGATGATTCGTCTGTTGTCTGACTAATTAAATCTTTTAAAGCAAACTGTTTAATTTTCAAATAGTGCTACTTATAATGTAATTAGGAATGCAATGTATGACTGAAGTGAGATTACACATCTATGGATTCCTTTTTAAGGTAAGCTGGTTGAAGGATGGCCAATCTGTCGAAATCAATCGCAGTGGCCGTTTTATTCTCTCAGGCGAAAATTCTTTATTAATTGGACAAGTGAAACAATCTGATTCCGGAAACTATACATGCGTAGCTGAAAATATAGCTGGAAAATATTCTAGTGAGCCAGCCGAATTAATAATACATGGTAGGAAATCAAGTTTACACATGTAACCTATTAAAGTACTATGTCTGTGTATTGTCTGCAGATGATCTTGGCTGGTCGGATTGGCTACCATTTTCAGAATGTAAAGGCATTCCTTGCGGAAGTGGACGACAGCGACGCATCCGAACATGTTTGAATCCACCAACAATCACAAATCGTCCAAGTTGTGACGGTGATCAAATACAGGAGCGAGAATGTCTAGTGGCATGCCCAAGTTCATCATCTCAATTACCGGAACAAGCCGTTCATCAAGGCATTGTTAAAACTGGTAAATCTCCTTCTTATCTAGACAAAATATCCAACTAATCTGTTGTTGTCTTTCAGATGAAGAATTTTCTGATTGGTTCTCATGGTCTGAATGTAAAGGTAATGCGTGTAATATGGGACATCAACAACGAATTCGAGTCTGTCTTAAACTGAACACAAAAGCCTGTGATGGAGAACGAGTTCAAGAACGAGAATGTTTCGTACCATGTTCAACAAATTCATCTGATCAAATTTTGTCTGCAAGACAACAACGTCCGATCAACAGTAAGCAAATCAACAATTTAGAAGATGAATAGCAGTACATGAACAAATTTCTTTTATTTAGCTCAATCCTTACTATCTCGCTCCTCGTCAAATTGGACTGCATGGTCATTATGTAACAGTGATTGTCAAATGATTCGAACACGTCAATGTTCTAATCAACAATGTGTAAATAGTTTAGAAACAAAACCTTGTAAAGGAAATCTATGTCCAAGTAAGCTATATGATTACGTCAGTTAATTGTTGATTGATCACAAGAGTAGTAAATGGAAATTGAATTTTTATGTCCAAAATCCTGTTAAACGGCGTCACATTATTTCCTGTTTCTATAAATTTTAGATAAGGAACAATTATCATCTGCATAATTGTTTAAAGAGCAATAATGATTGAGTGTCTCATATGTTAATATGTCGTCTTTCTTTTTGAAGAAGAAGAAGAATGAGAAAGAGAGAGAGAGAAAGTAAAGGCGAGCTTTTTTAACACGTAGTGTCTATGTAATTTAAAATAGTCTCAAAAAAGTCAAGCATAAAATAGGACTTGGTGCCGCTCAAATCTAATGCTGAATAAACTCACGATTATTGTCCATTTAACCAAAAAAGTCTAAAATTAACTTTTTGACATAGAAATGTTTTCCGTACAGGTATTCCAATATTATCATCGAAAGCCTTGAACATTATTTTATATTCATCAGCCGGTGTTGGATGTGTGATATTGTTGATACTTGTTCTACTATTATTCATTTGTTTACGACGTCGGCAAAAAACTAAAAAGGGTATGTTATCATGAACATTCGCTAAGCATTTGCATAGACAAACGAAGAATGAAGTACAAAATATTTAAGTGTATTATCTCATAGTCAATGTAATGTCATAGAGTTCATTAGTTCATGTCATAGTTTCATTTTACGAAAAAGTCATTTTCTCCAGTCTACGTAAATCTTACAGAAGTAGGTTATGAGAATAAACCATAGATCTTAATAACAATAGCACTCTAATTCATGTTGTGATGACTGGGCTCGAGCCACCAGAGGCAAGAAGAAATCCACCCCATATTGGTTGCTTTATTTTGGACTGTTTATGCAAACGTAATTTTTCCTTTTTTATGATGAAACTTGTTAGACAGACTATTATTTTACAACAACAGCTTTCTTTTCAATGACGATATGAACTTGAGAGTTAAAGTGAAATATGCACTGTAATTTCATTGGTTTTTCTCATTATCAGTTACAAAGTTATCGTGAGGAGGTGCATCACCAAAAGCTAATTATCAACCGAAACTTCATTCATATCTACGAAAATAGGGAACCTCGACTGGAAGTGATATTTGCCAATTTGGTCATCTATTTCGTATTTCTTGTAGCCCTCCCCGATTGTATAACTAGTAAAACAACAAATGATCAAGTAACTCGTGATGAGTATCCATTTTATTATTCAATTCAGCAAGACACCACATCTACACGCTCATGTGCATCACAAAACGCTTCACTAACTCATTCGGAATCAATTGAAAAAGAAAAATTATTGTTAAATTTAAATGAATCATCATCGTCACCAGGCAGCAATTTACATCATCAACTCTATGCACATCATAAACAACACCAACAACAACATTTACTAAATCAAAATAACAATAATAACACGATAAATACTAGTACAAGCGTAACAGCAAATGGGTCGAGTATCATATCAGGTGGTGGACCATTTCATCTACTGAACTATTGTGGATTTCAACCAAAATTTCATCAACGAAGTATCCAGAATAACGACTATTCTCATACATCTACCGATACAACTTCTCGATCAACACCAAGTTCAATATTAAATTCAGTTTATGAAAAAATTTTACAGTCGTTACCACAACATACTGATTTAAGATATTTTGCTGTGTCCGTGTTAAATAGTAAAGGATGTAAAGTTCAAATAGCGAATACAGGCGTTTGTTTGGTAATACCGGAACAAGCGGTATTAGACGATGAAGAATATCTCATATTTATTGCCATATTGACTGATGATATGCAAATGCCTCAACTCAGTGGTTAGTACTGGTAACATTTAAATGAATAGAATATTGACTCTATGAATTTTATTGCAGAAGGTGAATCACGTTTATCACCAGTTGTTTTAATTGGACCATCTGAGATCACACTGTTGAAACCAGCTGTTTTGTCATTTGAACATACAGCACTGTTAGACGATAATACGTGGCAATTAAGTTTGATGAGTGGGGAGTTTAACGATACGACAAACATTTTGTGGAGGGTATGTATCTAGTTGAAAAAAAGTATGAACGAAAAGCTATTACTGGCACCTTTTTCCTGTTTTCTTTAAAGAGATTATTAATTTTTGGACAAGAAAGTATATCCTCTCCAGTTTATCTCCACATGGACGCACATCAATGTTACATACTAGTGAGAATTTGTCTCATACTATACCCATCAGAGAATTTTCATCTTCTGTTCACATTTCAGTTAGAATCTATGGGTGCTTATACTCTGGTCGGTGAGTCGTTACCTAACAAACATGCCTCAAAATACATCCAAATGGTAACATTCTACAATCGTTCATTGAACGACATTCAACAAGTCATATCAACATTAAGATTAAGATTTATTGATAATACATCAGATGCTTTGGAGGTATGTGCTGAAATATATCCTTATCAATTTTGTTTACATTCTACTCTCTCATTTATAGCGTTGTTTATCGGAAGAAACATCCATGCAAAGTTTTCTATGTGAGCAACCAAAACTTTTTCTACTACAAGACAGTTTTGATCAAATATGTGTTAATGTCGATATGGAATTGTCAATTTCATCTCGAATTAATATGGGCTATAAAGAAATACCCTTAGAAATGTTTTGGTCTAATCATATTGATCGTGCATGCTTCATATTTGTTATACCCGGTATTCACCCTCCTAACATTGAACATATAGCAATACATATCGATATTTACCAACCTCATATACTGCCCAACGCCCTACACACGAGAATTTGTATTAATACTATGAATGTAAGTAACACAAGTCTATAAGAAGAAAAAGATCAAGAATTATATAATATTCTTTCAGCTCCATCAGAATTCACCATTAGAAAAATATAACACGTCAACGGTAAGAAGCCATTATCTCAAACAAACTCAAACATCGACTGACGGAGTATTCAGGTAAGTTAGAGAGAAACAAGTAACATACGATTATGACTGAGTTTACACTTAGATTACCACAAACCATGCGACAAAAGTTATGTGAGGTACTTGATCCACCAAATTTGCATGGAAATGATTGGAGGATGTTTGCTCAACGTCTCCATGTCGATCAGTAGGTTATAAAGTAATTTATTGGTCTACCACTATGTCATTGGTATATTTGTTCTAGTTATTTACACTATTTTGCTACCAAAGTCAGTCCTACTGAACATCTGCTGACGTTGTGGGAAGCTCGTCACAGTCAAGATCCACTAACAGACATAATTAATTTATTAAATCAAATGGGTCGATCAGATGCAGCTAAAATCATTATAAGTGGAATGAATATTGGCAACTAACTATGATTCTCTTATTTTTGTATTATCATGTGGCTCGTTCTTATTGCGTCAGTATTTGTGTTCGTTCAGATAAATTGTACGGTCAAACAAAATAATACTTTTGTGTTTTCAGTTAACGTTATCGTGTTAACCGTTCTAACTTTTAGCGTATGGCGTTTCTCAATTTTGCATTTTTTTATGTTTATTTCTTGTATTTTTATTTCTCAGAAAAAAAATGGTGAATTAAGAAGTTGCAGCACATATTTTGCTTTTTCTGCAAAATCCGGTCTGAATGGATATGTTCCTACTCAATAATCTAAACTATCTAACATAAGCTATGAAACTCCATCGCAGAAATAACAGGACTACCGCTTAACCTCCACATCGTAATGTTTCATTATCTAAAAAGAATTCAATATAGAAAAAATTAGCAAAATCTACAGAACGAACTTTCATTTTTCTGAAGCTTATAACGAATAAATCTACAATAAGAGCTGATCATTGCATAGTTACGTGATAAACTTTAGTGCTGATGATCATTGACTGAAATGTAACTCCGTCGGTTTCCTCTTTAAAAAGACCTTCCAAGTAGCGTATTCTGCAAAAGTCAATCTGCAAAACATTTCATAAACGAAACCCAACCTAAATCATTTCTAATTTCATTGTGAGATTTCGCCTGACCTGCACTCATCACATCTAACAAAAATAGCTTCAGCCACTTTTTAATTTATTCTCAATAAACGAATAGATGATCAAGCAATAATTATATATTCTGTTAGCGCTTGTAGTCCTCAAATCGCCCTGCTTTCGCAATGTAGATTTGAAATTATTTTCTAAAAATAAGATACTCTACCTATCACATTCATAGGGATTAAACCAGTCCTGAAATGGCACCACATACATACGAAGTCCGATACTTTCTGTAGTCGAAAACTGTTAACAACGATCTATCCATTCATATACTATATGTGTAAAAAGATACTAAACTTCAATTGAAAATGTTATGCATAATTTGCTTATCTTAATGCTATTGAGTGTTGGCGTCTATAGGCAGCAATATCATCCGGATTCTGAAAACCGCATACAAGACTTGATTGAAGGAGCATGGAATGTAATCCATGGGAATGTGACAGGAGTGTCAACTGTCGAGCTTTTAAACCAAATCTCTTCTAAACAAAACTCAGCACAAATACTGCAATACTTTCAGAGGCAAACGGTTCAGTTTGAACGTCAATAATTAGTCATACTGGTAACCATACCATATCACTTTAGAATTTGTTATATAAATGCCGCACTAGCATGCAAAGTTAGGAAACGAATCCATCGTTCGCATACACTTGTTCTTCACTGCGGCTAGAGAATCGTATTCGATTCTTTTTTTTTCTTTTTCTGAGAGCATCGTTTACCGCTTTCTGATTTATTTGCGTCTATAACAAAATATCATGGAAAAATGTTCACATGGGTTGTACTAAACCCCCCCCCCATAATAGAAGCCTCCGGGGCTTCTAAACTGTCCGAGTGTTCAAAATTTTTAGGGGGGGCTTGTATTATGAAGGGGCTACTATTACGACTTT